CTTTCAGTTCCACACCCTCCGACAAAAGCTTTACTTAAAACACTTTTACTATATACCAAAAATAAACGTTTCTCATGACGAAACTGCTTAGTATTTTTTAAAAAATGCTCCTTAGTATTACGGTACCGCAAAATGTTAAGTATGTTAGTACCAGTGTCCACCTTTGTAATACAAAAGATTAAAATCGATTAAAATCTAAATGAGGACCAAAGCACTCGACTTCTTTGACGCAGGAGTGTGCCTGAGTGGATGAGATGATGGTGCACTTTCCTATAAGGAACAGTTTGAGTTTGCATATTAAGCCACCGTTTTCAGTCACACCTACACAGTCACCTGATTCACCATGAACACCGTCATGAAGACCACCGTCCTGGCCTGCCTGCTCGTCGCAGCGCTCCAGTTCAGTCAGGTTAGTAAAGGAGGTGGGTGGTCAAAGTCCACCAAAAACCCGTCACGTGGTTTGTGTACGATCCCTAACGCCCCGAGGAGCAGCCCGACGGGTGCCCCCCTGAGGTACTCGTATGTTACGTCCTGCCCGATGACATGGAGCAGCTTTTTTTAAGAAAAACGAGGGGCAACATCGACCCTTCGCAAAAAATCTGAATTTTTTTCTGAGGTTCGTATTATTCCCCTAGACAACATATCCAAGTTTGAACCCGATCGGACATCCCTACGTGAAACGGCAAGAGGCGCAAGTTTCGCCTAACACTTTTTGCTTGTTTTCGTGTAAAAACGAAAAATCTCATTAAATCTCGCCCATGGCAAGTTCTGGCCAAAATCAAAGTGGTTTTCAAAGTAAAATGAGCTGGGGAATCCGAAGCAGCTATCGGTTTTACGACTAGGTGAAGTTTAGGGGTCGATATTAGGTAAAAGACACCGTTTCCAGAGAAATGCCCAAATCTTGGGGTTTCTGTGTTCTTCAACGTACTTTTTTTTTCTCTCACCGCCAAACTGTAGGAAAAGGACCAAAGTAACGTGTGTTGGCCATGGGAACCGTCTTACGCTGCCCCCGGGGTCTCCAGGGGCAAAAAACAGCAAAAATGGTCATTTTGGTGACAATTCAGCATGCATTTTTACGATTCACATCGACCCTCTCCGCATTTGTTGGCTCTGTCCCCCAAAGTTAGTCCCTAATAAGACCCCTTTGCCTGGTTTTTCTGGGCGATGTAGCTCAAAGGGTTCCGGAGATATCAGTATTTGAAGTTTTTGAAGGTTTTATTTTGTGTTTTGGCTAAAATGTCGAAAATTTGCATTTTCTGGAGCTAGGACTATCCGGGACAACAATCGACCACTGCTCTTCACGTAAAACTACCTCAAGAATCCGTTCTTGCCAGTGGAATTGCAATATTTCAACTCCTTATTCAAATTTTGCCTATAATTAGTGTTTTTTGAGTTACGACTTTTAACCTTTTACAGGCCACCAACGACCGACTTCCCATTCGAATTTTTTTATATTTCTCAGGCTCAAAAGATATTCTTTGACGAGCTCTTTCGAAAGCAGCCAACGAAAATAGTCGTACCGGCCCTTACTTAGGAGCCGGACAAAAACGGTGGGAAACGTAATTTTGGCTAAAATCTGGTGTTTTGTTGGAGTTTTGGTGCTAGTTTATAAGGATGTTCCGCACTAGTTACGGGGCCTATTATCAATGACGTGCTCTTTCCGATTCCGCCAAACAAAATTTGCGTTTTGGGGTATTTCTTATGGTTTTGACGGTTCTAAAAAAACATAAAATCATCAAAAGTATTTTTTATTTTTTATTTTTCAGAACTTCCGTTTTGCTTATAATATCATGTTGGTGCTGATGTTTTCATCATGATGATGTTTCATCAACATGATGTTTTCATCATGATGATGTTTCATCAACATGATGTTTTCATCATGATGATGTTTCATCAACATGATGT